TCTCCCCCGGACCCCGCATTCACTATATCCGCTCTCCCCGGACCCCCCGCACTATATATCCGCTCTCCCCGGACCCCGCATTCACTATATCCGCTCTCCCCGGACCCCGCATTCACTATATCCGCTCTCCCCGGACCCCCGCATTCACTATATCCGCTCTCCCCGGACCCCGCATTCACTATATCCGCTCTCCCCGGACCCCGCATTCACTATATCCGCTCTCCCCGGACCCCGCATTCACTATATCCGCTCTCCCCGGACCCCGCATTCACTATATCCGCTCTCCCCGGACCGCATTCACTATATCCGCTCTCCCCGGACCCCGCATTCACTATATCCGCTCTCCCCGGACCCCGCATTCACTATATCCGCTCTCCCCGGACCCCGCATTCACTATATCCGCTCTCCCGGACCCCGCATTCACTATATCCGCTCTCCCCGGACCCCGCATTCACTATATCCGCTCTCCCCGGACCCCGCATTCACTATATCCGCTCTCCCCGGACCCCGCATTCACTATATCCGCTCTCCCCGGACCCCGCATTCACTATATCCGCTCTCCCCGGACCCCGCATTCACTATATCCGCTCTCCCCGGACCCCGCATTCACTATATCCGCTCTCCCCGGACCCCGCATTCACTATATCCGCTCTCCCCGGACCCCGCATTCACTATATCCGCTCTCCCCGGACCCCGCATTCACTATATCCGCTCTCCCCGGACCCCGCATTCACTATATCCGCTCTCCCCGGACCCCGCATTCACTATATCCGCTCTCCCCGGACCCCGCATTCACTATATCCGCTCTCCCCGGCTCTCCCCCCCGCATTCACTATATCCGCTCTCCCCGGACCCCGCATTCACTATATCCGCTCTCCCCGGACCCCGCATTCACTATATCCCGCTCTCTCCCCGGACCCCGCATTCACTATATCCGCTCTCCCCGGACCCCGCATTCACTATATCCGCTCTCCCCGGACCCCGCATTCACTATATCCCGCTCTCCCCGGACCCCGCATTCACTATATCCGCTCTCCCCGGACCCCGCATTCACTATATCCGCTCTCTCCCCGGACCCCCGCATTCACTATATCCGCTCTCCCCGGACCCCGCATTCACTATATCCCTCTCTCCCCGGACCCCGCATTCACTATATCCGCTCTCCCCCGGACCCCGCATTCACTATATCCGCTCTCCCCGGACCCCGCATTCACTATATCCGCTCTCCCCGGACCCCGCATTCACTATATCCGCTCTCCCCGGACCCCGCATTCACTATATCCGCTCTCTCCCCGGACCCCCCGCATTCACTATATCCGCTCTCCCCGGACCCCGCATTCACTATATCCGCTCTCCCCGGACCCCGCATTCACTATATCCGCTCTCCCCGGACCCCGCATTCACTATATCCGCTCCCCCGGACCCCGCATTCACTATATCCGCTCTCCCCGGACCCCGCATTCACTATATCCGCCGCTCTCCCCGGACCCCGCATTCACTATATCCGCTCTCCCCGGACCCCGCATTCACTATATCCGCTCTCCCGGACCCCGCATTCACTATATCCGCTCTCCCCGGACCCCGCATTCACTATATCCGCTCTCCCCGGACCCCGCATTCACTATATCCGCTCTCCCCGGACCCCGCATTCACTATATCCGCTCTCCCCGGACCCCGCATTCACTATATCCGCTCTCCCCGGACCCCGCATTCACTATATCCGCTCTCCCCGGGACCCCGCATTCACTATATCCGCTCTCCCCCGGACCCCGCATTCACTATATCCGCTCTCCCCGGACCCCGCATTCACCACTATATCCGCTCTCCCCGGACCCCGCATTCACTATATCCGCTCTCTCCCCGGACCCCGCATTCACTATATCCGCTCTCTCCCGGACCCCGCATTCACTATATCCGCTCTCCCCGGACCCCGCATTCACTATATCCGCTCTCCCCGGACCCCGCATTCACTATATCCGCTCTCCCCGGACCCCGCATTCACTATATCCGCTCTCCCCGGACCCCGCATTCACTATATCCGCTCTCCCCGGACCCCGCATTCACTATATCGCTCTCCCCGGACCCCGCATTCACTATATCCGCTCTCCCCGGACCCCGCATTCACTATATCCGCTCTCCCCGGACCCCGCATTCACTATATCCGCTCTCCCCGGACCCCGCATTCACTATATCCGCTCTCCCCGGACCCCGCATTCACTATATCCGCTCTCTCCCCGGACCCCGCATTCACTATATCCGCTCTCCCCGGACCCCGCATTCACTATATCCGCTCTCCCCGGACCCCGCATTCACTATATCCGCTCTCCCCGGACCCCGCATTCACTATATCCGCTCTCCCCGGACCCCGCATTCACTATATCCGCTCTCCCCGGACCCCGCATTCACTATATCCGCTCTCCCCCGGACCCCGCATTCACTATATCCGCTCTCCCCGGACCCCGCATTCACTATATCCGCTCTCCCGGACCCCGCATTCACTATATATCCGCTCTCCCCGGACCCCGCATTCACTATATCCGCTCTCCCCGGACCCCGCATTCACTATATCCGCTCTCCCCGGACCCCGCATTCACTATATCCGCTCTCCCCGGACCCCGCATTCACTATATCCGCTCTCCCCGGACCCCGCATTCACTATATCCGCTCTCCCCGGACCCCTCATTCACTATATCCGCTCTCCCCGGACCCCGCATTCACTATATCCGCTCTCCCCGGACCCCGCATTCACTATATCCGCTCTCCCCGGACCCCGCATTCACTATATCCGCTCTCCCCGGACCCCGCATTCACTATATCCGCTCTCCCCGGACCCCGCATTCACTATATCCGCTCTCCCCGGACCCCGCATTCACTATATCCGCTCTCCCCGGACCCCGCATTCACTATATCCGCTCTCCCCGGACCCCGCATTCACTATATCCGCTCTCCCCGGACCCCGCATTCACTATATCCGCTCTCCCCGGACCCCGCATTCACTATATCCGCTCTCCCCGGACCCCGCATTCACTATATCCGCTCTCCCCGGACCCCGCATTCACTATATCCGCTCTCCCCGGACCCCGCATTCACTATATCCGCTCTCCCCGGACCCCGCATTCACTATATCCGCTCTCCCCGGACCCCGCATTCACTATATCCGCTCTCCCCGGACCCCCGCATTCACTATATCCGCTCTCCCCGGACCCCGCATTCACTATATCCGCTCTCCCCGGACCCCGCATTCACTATATCCGCTCTCCCCGGACCCCGCATTCACTATATCCGCTCTCCCCGGACCCCGCATTTCACTATATCCGCTCTCCCCGGACCCCGCATTCACTATATCCGCTCTCCCCGGACCCCGCATTCACTATATCCGCTCTCCCCGGACCCCGCATTCACTATATCCGCTCTCCCCGGACCCCGCATTCACTATATCCTCTCCCCCGGACCCCGCATTCACTATATCCGCTCTCCCCGGACCCCGCATTCACTATATCCGCTCTCCCCGGACCCCGCATTCACTATATCCGCTCTCCCCGGACCCCGCATTCACTATATCCGCTCTCCCCGGACCCCGCATTCACTATATATCTCTCCCCGGACCCCGCATTCACTATATCCGCTCTCCCCGGACCCCGCATTCACTATATATCCGCTCTCCCCGGACCCCGCATTCACTATATCCGCTCTCCCCGGACCCCGCATTCACTATATCGCTCTCTCCCCGGACCCCGCATTCACTATATCCGCTCTCCCCGGACCCCGCATTCACTATATCCCCTCTCCCCGGACCCCGCATTCACTATATCCGCTCTCCCCGGACCCCGCATTCACTATATCCGCTCTCCCCGGACCCGCATTCACTATATCCGCTCTCCCCGGACCCCGCATTCACTATATCCCGCTCTCCCGGACCCCGCATTCACTATATCCGCTCTCCCCGGACCCCGCATTCACTATATCCGCTCTCCCCGGACCCCGCATTCACTATATCCGCTCCCCCCGGACCCCGCATTCACTATATCCGCTCTCCCCCGGACCCCGCATTCACTATATCCGCTCCCCCCGGACCCCGCATTCACTATATCCGCTCTCCCGGTCCCCGCATTCACTATATCCGCCCTCTCCCCGGACCCGCATTCACTATATCCGCTCTCCCCGGACCCCGCATTCACTATATCCGCTCTCCCCGGACCCCGCATTCACTATATCCGCTCTCCCCGGACCCCGCATTCACTATATCCGCTCTCCCCGGACCCCGCATTCACTATATCCGCTCTCCCGGACCCCGCATTCACTATATCCGCTCTCTCCCCGGACCCCGCATTCACTATATCCGCTCTCCCCGCATTCACTATATCCGCTCTCCCCGGACCCCGCATTCACTATATCCGTCTCCCCGGACCCCGCATTCACTATATCCGCTCTCCCCGGACCCCGCATTCACTATATCCGCTCTCCCCGGACCCCGCATTCACTATATCCGCTCTCCCCGGACCCCGCATTCACTATATCCGCTCTCCCCGGACCCCGCATTCACTATATCCGCTCTCCTTGGACCCCGCATTCACTATATATATCCCCCCCAGTCCCTGCATTCACTATATCCGCGCTCCCCGGACCCTGCATTCACTATATCTGCTCCCCCCGGACCCTGCATTCACTATATCCGCTCCCCCGGACCCTGCATTCACTATATCCGCTCTCCCCGGACCCTGCATTCACTATATCCGCTCGCCCCGGACCCTGCATTCACTATATCCGCTCCCCCGGACCCTGCATTCACTATATCCGCTCCCCGGACCCTGCATTCACTATATCCGCTCGCCCCGGACCCCGCATTCACTATATCCCCTCTCCCCGGACCCCGCATTCACTATATCCCCTCTCCCCGGACCCCGCATTCACTATATCCGCTCTCCCCCGCATTCACTATATCCACTCTCCCCGGACCCCGCATTCACTATATCCGCTCTCCCCGCATTCACTATATCCACTCTCCCCGGACCCCGCATTCACTATATCTGGTCTCCCCGGACCCCGCATTCACTATATCCGCTCTCCCCGGACCCCGCATTCACTATATCCGCTCTCCCCGGACCCCGCATTCACTATATCCGCTCTCCTTGGACCCCGCATTCACTATATCTGATCCCCCCCAGTCCCTGCATTCACTATATCCGCTCTCCCCGGACCCCGCATTCACTATATCCGCTCTCCCCGGACCCTGCATTCACTATATCTGCTCCCCCCGGACCCTGCATTCACTATATCCGCTCTCCCTGGACCCCACATTCACTATATCTGGTCTCCCCGGACCCCGCATTCACACTATATCCGCTCCCCCCGGACCCCGCATTCACTATATCCGCTCTCCCTGGACCCCGCATTCACTATATCCGCCCAGTTCGCCCCAAGCCGGAAGTGGCAGCAGGTACCTGACAAAACCAGGTACCGTCTTACCCCCAAATGGTTCCAAATGTGGCAGCGGGGGGGGAGGGGGAAGCAGAAAAGCAAAGCTTCCACTTTTTGGTGGAACTTCAGTGTAAGCTTCTTCTGCTGCTGTTGGTTCTGCTCTACATCCCTGTGGACCGGCGCTGCTCGGCTCGGGTCCTTCGGATGACAGCTTTTGTTCTGATGATATGCTCTTTATATACTCTATACTTTATATGCTCTTTATATACTCTACGATATGTGAGGGGCCCATTTACTTTTTTTTTTTTTTTTTTTTTTTTTAACCAATAAATGCTTGACTTGCTGCACTTGAATGCGCCCTTTTGTGTCCATTACATAGTTGGCTGAAAAAGACAAAAGTCCATCCAGTTCAACCATAGGAAAAAAAAAATAAAAAAATTATAATCCTACACCCACAGTTGATCCAGAGGAAGGCAAAAAATCCCCCCCCCAGCAAAGCACGATCCAATTTGCACCATTGGCTGGTTAAAGTGGACTATGGTACAGTAGGGTGGGCAATGAACGATCGGTTTCTATATGATGTACAGTGCATGGCAGAGGATCTGCTGCTTATATCATGGAAGTTACGTTCCTCGGAGGAACCAAGGAAGGCGAAATATAAGTAGAGGAAGCTTCAGCTTCGGCTGATAAACGGACGTTCTGGAGCTTTTCTGCGTTTTTTTCAGCAGCCCCTGAACTCTCCCTAATGTCCTCCTCTGTCTCCATGTACACATCGTCCTTTACAGGCAGTTGAGTTTACAGTCGTTTTTTTTTTTTTTGAACGAACCAAACTTGTATTCAGGAGTAGATTTTACCGTCATTTCAAATGCCAAACGCTTGTAAACGGTTAACTGCGTTTTATAAGCGTTTGCATTTAGAAGCTGTCCGGAGCTTTTTTTTCATCATCAGAAATGCATGCACAGCGTTTTTCCATGTATTCAGATGGACCCGGTACACCGGCGCAGTCAGTTCCAGGTGTCGTGTGAAGGAACAAATGGTAGAACGCGCCGCATTATGCTCATGATGGGATCCATAGTGACTACAACCAAAAAAGACCGGTCATCTCCACACATACTGCTCTCTCTGCTTCTACTCTCTCTATTTCTCTCCAAATGTCTGAAATAGTTAATTTTGTACTGTTTTTCAGTGCATTCTGGGCATTTGGGAAGGTGTCCTGAGGTTATCTTTTAAAAACGCTCATAAACGCAAACGCACATAAACGTGGCTAAACTGACACTTTTAACCTACATTTTCCAGCAGTCCGTTTCCATCGTTTAGGAGTTTTCCAAACGCCCCGTGTACATGAGCCCTAAAAACGCCCCGAGTACATGAGCCCTAAAAACGCCCCGTGTACATGAGCCCTAAAAACGTACTGTGTACATGAGCCCTAAAAACGTACCGTGTACATGAGCCCTAAAAACGTACTGTGTACATGAGCCCTAAAAACATACTGTGTACATGAGCCCTAAAAACGCCCCATTTGGAAACTCGGGCACTGCTCGAGGGCCCGGGGTCAGTAGGGGCCCCATGAAATGCCCCTGGTACCTTTTTCATAGACTCTTTTGAGTTTGGGCAAGGACACAGGGGCCCCATGATCCCCTATTGCCCGTGTGCCCCATAAGTTATCAGTCCGCCCCTGGTCCCGCGTACATGAGCCCTAAAAAAACGCCCCGTATGCACGAGCCCTAAAAAACGCCCGCGTGTGCACGAGCCCTAAAAAAAAACGCCCCGTATATACGAGGCCTAAAAACGCCCCGTATACACGAGCCCTAAAAACACCCCGTATGCACGAGCCCTAAAAACGCCCCGTATACACGAGCCCTAAAAGACGCCCCGCGTGCACGAGCCCTAAAAAAGACGCCCCGCGTGCACGAGCCCTAAAAGACGCCCCGCGTGCACGAGCCCTAAAAGACGCCCCGCGTGTGCACGTGAGCCCTAAAAGACGCCCCGCGTGCACGAGCCCTAAAAACGACCCGTGCAGGGGCGGACTGACCATTTGGAAACTCAGGCACTGCCTGAGGGCCCGGGGTCAGTAGTGGGCCCCATGAGATGCCCCCTGGTACCTTTTTCATAGACTCTTTTGAGTTTGGGCAAGGACACAGGGGCCCCATGATCCCCTATTGCCCGGGGCCCCATGAGTTGTCAGTCCATCCCTGGTCCCGTACAAGCCCTAAAACCGCCTCGTGTACATGAGCCCTAAAAACGCCCCGTGTGCACGAGCCCTAAAAACGCCCCGTGTGCACGAGCCCTAAAAACGCCCCGTGTGCACGAGCCCTAAAAAACGCCCCGTGTGCACGAGCCCTAAAAAACGTCCCGTGTGCACGAGCCCTAAAAAAACGCCCCGTGTACATGAGCCCTAAAAACGTACTGTGTACATGAGCCCTAAAAAAAACGTACCGTGTACATGAGCCCTAAAAACGTACTGTGTACATGAGCCCTAAAAAAACATACTGTGTACATGAGCCCTAAAAACGCCCCATTTGGAAACTCGGGCACTGCTCGAGGGCCCGGGGTCAGTAGGGGGCCCCATGAAATGCCCCTGGTACCTTTTTCATAGACTCTTTTGAGTTTGGGCAAGGACACAGGGGCCCCATGATCCCCTATTGCCCGTGTGCCCCATAAGTTATCAGTCCGCCCCTGGTCCCGCGTACATGAGCCCTAAAAAACGCCCCGTATGCACGAGCCCTAAAAAACGCCCGCGTGTGCACGAGCCCTAAAAAACGCCCCGTATATACGAGGCCTAAAAACGCCCCGTATACACGAGCCCTAAAAACACCCCGTATGCACGAGCCCTAAAAACGCCCCGTATACACGAGCCCTAAAAGACGCGCCCCGCGTGCACGAGCCCTAAAAGACGCCCCCGCGTGCACGAGCCCTAAAAGACGCCCCGCGTGCACGAGCCCTAAAAGACGCCCCGCGTGCACCCCTAAAAGACGCCCCGCGTGCACGAGCCCTAAAAGACGCCCCGCGTGCACGAGCCCTAAAAAGACCCGTGCAGGGGCGGACTGACCATTTGGAAACTCAGGCACTGCCTGAGGGCCCGGGGTCAGTAGTGGGCCCCATGAGATGCCCCCTGGTACCTTTTTCATAGACTCTTTTGAGTTTGGGCAAGGACACAGGGGCCCCATGATCCCCTATTGCCCGGGGGGGCCCCATGAGTTGTCAGTCCATCCCTGGTCCCGTACAAGCCCTAAAACCGCCTCGTGTACATGAGCCCTAAAAACGCCCCGTGTGCACGAGCCCTAAAAACGCCCCGTGTGCACGAGCCCTAAAAACGCCCCGTGTGCACGAGCCCTTAACGAACAGATTTGTTGCTGCTTTCGCACAATCTGCCACAGAAGGTGTTGTTGACACAGATTTCGGCTTCGGGTCTTTCTCAGGATGTTATAATTGGAGGTGAACCCGATAGCCATCTTATGAGTTACTAAGTGCTCTGCCTCATTTAAGCTTCTCCACTTCACCCAAAACTTGCCGGGAGGCTCCTGAGCAAAGTATCTGGAATGGGACCGCGCTCGTAAATCAGACCCGGAGCCTCTTCTGGTTTCATGGCCAGCTGTAACCATGCTCAGATTGCAGATCCCCATGGATGGAGAGGTACAGAGGGCCCTGAGGATCCAGACAAGTGTACCTGTCACTGTATACTGTGTGGGGGAAGAGGCCACTTCATGGACTAAATTGGTGACCTCACTGTGGTTCGTTTCCGGGGTTCTTCATAAGATTACATCATGACCCTCCGCAGGATCGGTTTCTTTTTCTATAGAGTAGAAAGCTGAGAGCTTTGATGGATGTATGACTGACTCTGTAACTGGATGACGAGGGCAATTGGCTATTAAATGGATCTGGTCAGTTTAGAGATCAATGGATAGAAAGGACTTTCTAAGCAGAGTCTCGGAATGTATTCATTTTCCGTACATACATGAAGAGATGGGAGCACCTAGGTGGAAGAACCGGTAATTTGCTTCATTAGGTAATTAGGACACTCACCGGCCACTTTACTAGGTACACCTTGCTTGTACCAGATTGGACCCCCTTTTGCCTTCAGAACTTCCTTCTGGCATAGATTCAATAAGGTGTTGGAAACATTCCTCAGAGATTTTAGTCCAGTTGCAGATTTGTCGGCTGCACATCCATGATGGGAATCTCCCATTCCACAACACCCCAAAGGTCCTCTATTGGATGGAGATCTGGTGGCTGTGGAGGACATTGGAGTACAATGAACTCATCATCATGTCCCAAAAACCAGTTGGAGATGATTTGAGCTTTGTGACTTGGTGTATTATCCTGCTGGGAGGAGAGCCATCAGAAGATGGGGACACTGGAGTCATAGAGGGGTGGACATGGTCAGCAACAAGACTTAGGTAAGCCGTGGCGTTTAAATGATGCTCAGTTGGTACTAAGGGGCCCGAAGTATGCCAAGAAAATATCCCCCACACCATGACACCACCAGCCTGAACTGTTGATACATGGCAGGATGGATCCACCACACCATGACACCACCACCACCAGCTTGAACCGTTGATACAAGGCAGGATGGATCCACCACACCATGACACCATCACCACCAGCCTGAACCATTGATACATGGCAGGATGGATCCCCCACACCATGACACCATCACCACCAGCCTGAACCATTGATACAAGGCAGGATGGATCCACCACACCATGACACCACCACCAGCCTGAACCACTGATACAAGGCAGGATGGATCCACCACACCATGACACAGCCACCACCAGCCTGAACCGTTGATACAAGGCAGGATGGATCCACCACACCATCGCACCCACCACCACCAGCCTGAACCATTGATACAAGG